TATATATAGAGAGAGAGAGAGAGAGAGAGAGAGGGGGGGGGACCGAGAGAGAGATGTATATAGAAATATGCGTATAGTTGGGGTACGACCAACTGGCGTGGGTGTGCATGGGTGTAAGATGGAGGTTGAAAAACCTGCGAATGTTTCAGTGATCTGTATCTGTGTAGTATATGTGTTATAGTCGAGAAATTCATTTGAGGTTTTCGGCACTAAAATTGTGCTGTCTGATTAATGAACATGAAATGGAGTTCTGCACTTAACCCCTCATCTTAGCCTGGGGAGGGGCAAGATAGCTTATTTCTAATTTTCATCAGAGGAAGCTCCCTTTAGCTACTGAATAAATCCATAGTTAGCGTACAGAGAAGTAGCCTAGCGGTGGCATGTGTAGGGAATGCACTCAATTAAGTTAAATAAACTAACGTGAGGTCAGAAGCAAAATCATCTAGAGGTTCAACGACGACAACCTGTATCTCTTGACAAAAGAAATATAACATCATAACTTTACTAGTGAGATCGATCACCCGTGCACATGCTGAATTTTTACATAACATCGCTAAACCTAGCTCTAGTACTATAGCCCTTGTTGCCACATACTTGTGGCAACAAGGGCTACCATAGTACTATACTATACTATATACTATATACTATATTATGCTATGCTATACTATAGTACTAGAGCTACGCTCCCGCTACGCTAAACCTAGATGCGGAAATGATTTTTTACTCGTGGTGTGATAAACGCGGGTTATAAGAAGAGATATGTATAGTGTTCAGTAACGCGTTATAAACTCTTGTAAACTGCTTGGCCGATATAACTTTATTATGTCTGTACACACTTGTCGCGTGTCATCGCTCACAATCTTTCGCGGAACGTCGACAACTTTTCGCGGGAACGTCGACGTCAACATAGGAGCGGCTGACTTGTAAATATATGGCCGTGTCTATAGTCCCGCTAGTAGCGCACGAAGGGTCGTTGTCGTAACAGGTACTGCAGATATGTACTCGAGGTAGTTTTAGGTTGTTTAGTATTATGTTTATATTTTTATATGAGGTATGTTTAGGGTTAGGGTTAGGGTTAGAGTTAGGTTTAGGGTTAGGGTTAGGGTTAGTGTTAGGGTTAGGGTACACTTCTGTAGTACAAGTCTGGTAAACTTTGTGTATACATATATGTACCTCGGGTACATATCTGTAGTACCTGTTACGACAACGACCCCTTGAGCGCTAGTAGCCTTTGTCGTTCCGGTATCTGACATTATATTGTCCGGGACATGAGGCTGTTGTTGTCTATAGTTAAGTTGCCCTCTATTCCCTATAACCGATATAGCCAACCGGCCCCATTGTGATCATGATCTTTCTTTGAAAAACAAATAATTATATGAATAAGAAATGAACTGGGGACGTGGGTTAATCGCGCGAAAAACGTTCGAGTGTGCGTGTACGTGCGCATGGGTGTGTATGCGCGTGTGCGTGTCTGCGCGGGCGTGTGCGTGCGTGCACGTGTGCGTGCGTGTATACGCGTGTGCATATCACGATACGTTAATCGTACCTGACACGTTGTAGCGAATTGCGCAACGACCAAGCAAGCAGACCGACCAAGCCCTCAGAATTCCCAGAAGTGTTTTCAAAGGCAAATAGATTGACTGACTGCCTTACCTCACCGCGCTGTGGAATTTAGACACGCATGACGGCATCTCAGTGCTAAAGTACAACAAAATAGTCTAACGTATTCGCATTGCGCTTAATGCGATAGTGTAGTAATTCGCGTAGGTGTATTGACAACGAAACGTTGATGCCTACGTGTTTGAATCCATGCAGGCAAACTGACTGACTGACTGATTTACTCGCAGGTCGAAAACATATATGAGTGCAATGCAAATCAATTTAGGTATCTAGTAGAGTATGCTTTATTGACATTGAATGTGTGGACAGAGATAATGAAACATAGTGTGTCTAGTACATACACGCGCGCACGCACGCACGCACACACACGCACGCACGAACACACGCGCGCACGCACGCACGCACGCACGAACGCACGCACGCACACACACACACACACACACAGCACACACCACACACACACACACACACACACACACACACACACTATAGTTAAGCTGTTCAGGTATAGATAAATACGACGATACAAATACGATGATCACGAAAGAAACTCCTTCGTCCTCCACATCCTTTACAACAATTTACTAGGGAAGGTGGAAATTTATAAACGGGATATGGGAAGTGCGTCAAATGTAAATTACTTTCGATGGGATTTGCCTCAAACTGTTCTTAGAACTAACGTGACGCTTTGCAATGTCACTATGTTGGGTCTGCACTACA